GCTCCTTGCTGGATTAAATATCGAATTGCAGGAGGAGCTTCACGAAACATCTGCACAGCAATATTTACCTTCATCTTTGTGAAGTGTCCACTGCTAACATGAATGTCAGAAAGCCTGTTTGCAATCTTCAGGTCATTACTCTTGTCATAAGACAACCAGCTTCAACGTGATCTATGTCTACAGTTCTTCCTGGAAGATTTTGTTCCCTGACCGTCTCTTCTCCTAGAGTAAAGGTGTCAACACAAGGAAGCTGAGCACGAATATTTTTTAAGACGTGGGGCTGGATCAGCCATGAAAAACAGCTTCCTGCCTTCAAGCTGCGGGTGTGCAACAGAGCAGACAGTCTCGGAGTGTCTGTGGCTCGATAATCCAAGCAGACGCCACACTGCACGATTGGCGGCCCCCATGTCACTTGTGACAACGAGCACTCGCAGGGAAATACTGGAACAGAGCTCAATCAAATGGAAGACAAGATCCTTCAAAATGTTACCATTGATTGACCGCCCAGTAAAGTGGCAGGCAATGACTTGCTTCCACCTCGTGTTTAGCCCACCAACTATAAAGACGAGTGCATGGTTGGCAACATTAATGCTAGATTCTGGAAGTGTGGTATTCCCAAAAAGGCAGTCAAGTGAGCGGTCATGGTCGAAGCCCTGACTGATCTCCATTTCTTCCATGAAGAGCACACAGTCTTTTTCAACATCTTCCATTGTCTCCACCTTGCGCTTTAGTACTTCTAGTACCTCTTCAAGGACACCAGGCAGGAAAGGAATATTCTGGAGTCTACGAATCAACGTCCTGTTGGAAGGTAGTGGATACGACAAACACCTCAGCAGTTCGTATCCAGTCGTACCACAGGCATGCTTGATCTTCAGAGCCTCCCGGATAGTCTTTTCAGACCACTTCTGGCCTTTCGTGGTCTTTCTGGTGAGAGCGTTTTTTTAGTCGTTAAGAATAGCTGATGTTCTCAATGCACTTATCTCTTGCAGGGCGGACGCCATCTTCTTCCGAATACTGCGGAGTTTTGACTTTGCTTGTTCGTGAAGGCTTTGCAGGTTTTTGTATTTTCAGTTCAAATCACTGTATTTTTTCCGTAGCTCGGCGTTCTCTCGGCGCACTAATGTCAAGGTCGAGGTTGTGCTCCCTCCATGGGCAAAAGAGGGTGATGAGAGTATTTGTCCATTAGGAAGGCTACCCTGTGCTTCGATTATATGCTGCCTGGCTGGCCCGCTTGCAACATTGTCGAGAGCCATATGTTGCACTGGAGTGGCTGCTAATGCATAGGTATGCATGGACAGAGCCCGGTTGATCGGTTCATTGGAAATCTCAGAAGCAATGTTTTGCATTGGGGCAGTTGCTGACACTGAAGCACACAGAGACGGAGCAGCGCTGTCCGGGTCATTTGCAGTGCTGTTCAGAACATGTGGCACTGGAGCCGATCCTGATGCATGGGCACGCATGGACAGAACAGCATCTGGCACTGGAGCAGCTGTCGAATTACGGGCACAGATGGATGAAGCAGCACTGTCTGGTTCACTGGCAACGTTGTCGAAAGCCACATCAGGCACTGGAGTGACTTCCGATGCATGGGCACACACGGGCGAAGCAGCGTTGTCCGGGCCATTCGCAGTGCTGTTCAAAACAATACATGGCACTGGAGCGGCTGCTGACGAATGGGCATTCATGGAGAGAGCGGCGTCTGGCACTGGAGCAGCTGCTGATTTACGAGCACAGATGATTGAAGCAGCACCGCCTGGCTCACTTGCAACATTGGCGAGAGCCACATCAGGCACTGGAGTGGCCAACGATGCATGGGCACGCACAGACGGCGCAGTGTTGTCTGGGTCACTTGCAACAGCCGTCGAGCGCTGGGCATGAGAGTGGTGCAGCTGTCGATGCACAAGCACGCTTTTTTGGCGGCTTTCGGTGTTTTGGGATGGCTGGAAAAATCAGTTCAAACCCCAAATAAACATAGGTACTTGTAACTATTAATTTACATATTTATTCAACAACTTGAAATTCACAAACTCCTTGTTTCAGTTTGTATTACTTAGATACAGTACAAAAAAGTATTGAATCTGCTCCTAATTTTTTTGATAACGACACACCACCCTTTCTACCACCTTTACTCTTCTGCCCCAGAGGAAAAACAAGAAAATAAGGCTAATTATTGAAACACTAAGCTAGTTTTTTTATCTTCGGTTACTAGTACACTCTGCTTATTTGTTTAACACTTTGGATGCCGTAAAAACCTAGCTATGCTATGAACAGAAAGTTAGGACGCAAACGAGCTGGTGAAAGTTAAACATGTTGAAATGGCCCTACGACTTAGGACAACCGACGATTAACAAGAGGTGACGAGACCTCTTGTCGTCCTCTTGTTCGTCGTCTGTTGTCCAAAATCTCAGAGTTATTCCAACATATTGAGCTGGGCTCTATTTTTTGTTCAGCAGTCTAACAATGTGGTGAGTAAGAGTGCGTACATACATTACACGTATGTACAAACATACATCAATTTCCCTACTAGCATTGAAGTGCCGACCTAACATTAAACGACCAGTCTTTATTTCATCAAATAAAGATTGAATCGAAAAATAAATAAAATTACCACACTTACCACGATAAGGAAAAAGTGTAGGAACCGCATCAGGCCTCAATTTCTTCAAACCATCCTGTCTGTTTTGCTCGAAGCTTCTGTCCTCAAAATGCATCTGAAATAAAAAGAACCGAGTATGTCTTACAGTGATGAACAAATGCAATTGTTATGGTTCATGCACATGCACAGGATGTAGACAGTTTACAGTATACATGAACACACCCCATGACAAGTGAGCATCTGGTCTGCAGTCATCATGATAGTGAATGGTATTCCTGAACTCGTGTTGTTGTTCTGTAACTCGAATGTTCGGCGTGCTGTCCGTACCACACGTAACTTAGCAACTTAGCGTTGCTTCTAACATCCTTGGTTACATCCAATAGAAGTTTTATGCAATATCTAGTGTTATAGTCTATGGCATAGAATGTGCAATCCGGTTGGAATCAGTGACAAGCTCCGGGTTTGAGAATGCATGCATATGGTTATAGCCCACTGCTCCTATAGATTCTCATCAGTCGTTTACCCACATAAACTAAGTTCAAACGCGCTAGCACTTGACAGCAAATGCTAAAAACGCGAGCCATCGCGAGTGCGCTCCTAGACACATATGATTATCGGCGCTGTACTCGTATGCACCAATGACGTGACCCCCAACGTGCTACCTTTAAAAAAAGAAATATAAAAAATCCCATAAACTATCGCGGGTACCGAACACTTGAAGTGATTACACGCTCGGCGACAAAATTCGAACTCACTCGGCCACGTAACGAAACAGAATATATAGGAGACTATACAAATATGGAGGGAGGAGTCTGACCGAGCAGACGCAGCTCTATATGAAGGATGTAGTTACGTAACGTCGGACGTAACGCACAATAGCAGGGTGAGGTTACGTCACCCATCACTTCACCTTGTAACGTAATTTTAGTGTTTATTTTGCGTCACGTCGAACGTACCTTGTAGGCTCTCAAAACAGCAAACGCGTGCGTCGTAAGATCACAACACATGAACGCAGACATGAGAAAGTCACAGTCGGTGTCCTTTCAAGATATTTTAATGCCGCGATGGCTCGAGCCCACGACGCACGATAACGAAGACAGCACATGACGGACGAATCGGAGGAAGGGGCTCAACAGAACTTAAAATATACTCACGGAGCAAACACGAGAAGCAGGAGGGGTCTCCCAGCGGTCCCGTCTCACTTGAGCAAGCCAGCGTCTCTTCCGATTAGGGCTAGCCGGGAACATTCGTACTCCTTGCCTGTTGTGGCTCGTACATTGCGGAACGCAACATACGGGCATTTCTGCTCCTCAAGTCTTTTAAAAGCACGTAGCGTGCACCAGCGCTATCGGGAACGTCGTCGTCGAAAAGGAGCCGCGGTAAACACGACGGGACCGCGACCTAGACACGGAGCTGTACATTACGTTTGGTCTTACCAGGGCCCCAAGATGGCGCAGCGTCGTCGCGTCACCGTGGCAACCCGAACTGGCAACACTGAGAGCCGGCGGGTGGCGGCAACTGGTGGGTCAAAGGCTGACACCACCCTAAGACGGAAGTCCCGTATGTAGGCTCCTTTGCTCCGGTGCGATCGCAGCGCCGCTGCAGCTCTGTGACGTCAAGCCCGCGTGTCGGTCTATAACAGGGGTGGCCAGGCTGACCCGGGCTAAGAGCCGCAAACAAAACCACAAAAATCCCAAGAGCCGCAAAAAAAAAAAAAAAAGGGGGGCGGGGGGGTTAAACGTTTGTCTAGACTCTAGAGCAATAAACGATACACGAACTACTTTCAATCTATTCGAGTCAAAAGCAGTCCACCTGTACGTAAAATAGCAGTAGCTCAAGACTACCGAACCGCAACCTGTCTTAAGGCTCACAACGCGTTCCATTTCTCTTTTCGGGAAGTGCTCGTGTGACTGGGAGGGAAGCGGGAAAGGGGGGCGGGGTAGGGCAGGGAGCCGCGAGTCGCACTTTAGAACGCTAAAAGCCGTATGCGGCTCTTCTATAGCAATAATTTTATTCCACTAAATATAGACTTCTTAAAAAAATAAAAAAAAGAATGTTTTGCAGAATGACAAGATTTACCAAGTTATATTATTATGGTCCTCAGATAAGTTTAGTTTCCTTAAAATGTTAGTCTCACAATTTACGTAGTGAATACGTATATTTTTTTTTTGTTGTTTACGAATTTACAATTCGTTTGCGCCATTTTATTTTGGATATGTGGATGTCTAGATGTACGAACATAATTTGAGATAATTATAGGGCATTCTGTAAATATATCGTTACCTGTTCATTCTGGTTTGGGGCGTCTAAGTAAACAGCATTATCCAAATTTGACTTTATGGATATTCATTCACCTGTTCTCGTAAAACCTATACGTATAATACACATATTGCGATGTTGTTACCTCATCTTGATGAAATCCACCAGCACGTTTTAGAGCTAGAAGTTCCTTCTCGCAAATTTCGTTTGGAATTGTAAAACTGCCAGGCAGCCTTTTTGCTTCTAGATTGGTGTCATGCGTTTCAGTTCTCAGGCATTCAAATTGGCTCTCTCTAAAAGAAATAAAGGCACTATAAACAGGCAGTTTATCTTTATAAACGGTTGTGAATCAGATAACACAATTAGAACGTGCCGTTTGAGACGGCATTTTTAGTGTATTTCGGAGGTCAATTGACAAAAATTTAGTGTTCTCTGGGAGAAGAAAAAATATTTTTTTTAAGATTGATCTGTACTAAAATGATCTGCTGGTTTGCTGAAACATTGAAAAAAAATCAAGGTAGCATCGACCCATCAGAATTTGGCTTCAGGTGACACCCTGACAGGTGCGGAGAACTGCGGCCGCTTTATTCTGCTCTGGTGTGCTGCTGTGTGACTTTCATGGAAGTGGTTCAGGGAGACTGTAGTTATTATTTTATCTGAGACAAAAGCCTAACTGACGTTATAAATAAGTTAGTATCTCTCTAAATGGTGCTTGAACTGTATTGTTTCCAAGAAGAATACAGTTTTTAGCACACCGCTGTTGCAGTGGTTGCTGGGCGTTAACGCGCGAGATTGGAGTTAGAGGAGAAACAAAGTCAAGACGCTGAAACGGGGATCGGTGTCAAGCCAGCCTTACCGCACATTTTCCGTAGACACTCAACCTTATAAAACTACGGCATGGCGTGTACCGAACACAATATTATTGCTCCGCATCCCACTGAAAGGCGGGTTGGTCATTAAGAACGCTGAAGAACGAGTATAGATGCACGATCAATTTTATAACATCGGCGCGATTCGTGCATCTAAAACTTGTAACAGTCATTGATGGGTCTACTTTCAAAATGAGTACTGCATTGCATAAGGATTTGTGTCTAACGTTTGTTTTAAGGCTCGCATGAAAACAGAAGTAAAGGGCAAAAGTAGGCGTTTTTTCGTGGTAAAAGCGCACCTCCGTTAGGTGTTAACACAAGGTATCCAAACTTCTGTCTGACAAAGTTTATTATATAGTCGTTTGCATATTGCCCTTCTTTCAAAATTCACCATTTGATTTTTTGTGAAATGGTTTGAATCTGCAAAAACAAATTTATCTAAGACAAAAAGAGGTTATTTTACTATGTTTAACCAGTTGAGAGATAATGTTAGTGTAAACGAGGTAGATTGTTGCATACACAAATTAGAAGCTTTTGATTTCAATGTAGGTTCCTCAGTTTTGTCGAAAATCAGCCAAAAAATAATAGGAAGTTATTTTGAAATTTTTCGTTTGTTTGTTTATGGCCGCTTGTGCCATCTGCTGAATTGTGACCAAAATGAAAGGAAGACCTGTTCATAAAAATTCATAGGCTGGCACTGATTTAGAATCCGCGGTTGGCTTCTGTGTTGCCTTTGCTGCAGACAGCTTGTACACCTTTCGATCATGTCTGTAATGTCCCTAGTGATGCCTTGCAACCAACACAACTCTTGAACTCTCCTTGAGCATTTGAGGATACCCTCTTGTCCTTTGTGTTGACTCCTCTTTTTGTACACCATACAAAAAGAGGAGTCAACGCTGACTCCCCTCGGGGTAGCCCAGAGATGTCCCCGTAGTGATACCTCTCAAAGAAAATATAAGATTCTAGTGTTCAGTGGAGTCAGTGGACCAGATCTGCCCCCCCCCCCCCCCCCCCCGAAGAATCTAGTGACTCGATTATCCAATAGAGCCAGGATTACCCTCTTCCGGCCTGGCGTGGCCAGCGAACTCTCTCCAATGGAATAAGATTAAATTTTTGATGGAGTCAGGCGGCTCTCTCAAAACAGCATGCATTTACGTGCGTGATCTTTTGCTGGTGTGATGTTTTGCCGCGTTCTCTTGTGTCGCTCTGCTCATTTGACGCCGTGCGGTTTTCTCGATTGCTGTTTAAACGCGTGCTGTTCTATCGCTGTGCTTTTTTGACGCGGTGCTGTTTTGACGGGTGATGTTTTGTCGTGTGTTGTTCTATCGTGGTGCTCGCTCGTGGCACTAACTGTGCTACAGCCACATCGTCTTTCATAGATTTCTTTGTATTTTCCCTATGAGAACGTGCTGTCGACATTGGGTACTACAAAGAATGGCATCACCCTAAACAGAAGGACATCGAGGCGCCCTCATACGTCATACAAAATGCAGTTTGCGTTCAGATGCGAACACGATCCCACTCACCGCGATATCCGTGCTTCGAATAACGCATGATAATAAGTTTAAGAAGAAAACTTGGCCCGCGGCATTCTAACCAAGGATGTCGCAATGACTCGCGTTTCCAGACTGTCATTTTTAAGATGTATGAGAACTGTGACCCCGGCTTCAATCTGCCTAATGTAGTTGGCGCCTCAGAAAATACCATCGTCTGTAAGCACAGATTTTATTTAGACACTTTCATTTAACCCATATGTAGCGCAGCGCTTTCCTGCGAAACAGTATTTAAATACAAAACCTCGAGACGAAAAAAATGAAGGAAAACACAACAAACAAAGTCCTTCGTGTTTTTCGTTCGTCTCGGGGTTTTATCTTAAAATATGTTCAACCATCACCAGCTAATTTGAACCCTAACTTTTTGTTTGTTGAAACAGTATTCTTTAACATTCAATCGTTTTTCAATTGTTATCGTATCATTAGATAAGTCAATCGCCAAGCGTCGCTACCTTTCTAGAAGGCGTCCATGGCAACCTGTGTCTTCAAGGAGAGAACCTGCTAAGAGTTAATGCGGAGCATTATTTTGCTTCTATTCACAAAAATTAAGAAGTTAAACCGCCACATCTTTTCTTTATAAATTAGTGATGGCTTGCACTAAAGCAGTTAGAAATTACTGCACCGCGAATCAGCAGCCCATGTCAGAGAATAAAAGCTACACAGCTTGGCATCTTCCGATGATCTGGGTCACAGCCTCCTCTATACTGACAAAGCCTGGCAGATCGTCACGTGACGCGGCCGCCGAAAGTGAAAAGGTAGAACGGCAGGCAAGAGTCATGTAACGGGCGCCCCGCTGCGGCGAGAAACTGAAACACACTTGTTCCGAGCGATGCAATGTTCCTTTGGTGCTTCTCGCGTTCTTTGGGCTACCGCTTCTTTTCTTGTCGGGTTTGAAAACCATGTTTCGGGTCCTCGCCGCTGCAAAAGCTGTGCGCTGAGTACCGGACTCCCCGAGACAGGCTCTCTCTCTGCTACCAGATCCTCGCGCTCCAAATCTGCGACCGGGCACTCTATGGCTCCGTCGTCGAACTGCCAGGCTTTGTGAGTATTGGCGACGTGAGTGATCGAAAGCGTCGTTGTAGTCGGCCCACCACAAATGGCCGAATGCTGACTATGACGTCAGCAAAGGATTTCTTATTGACGCAACTAAGAGGAATGAAATAACTTCAATTTTGACGGCGTTGGCAGTGTTGCTTTGAGAGCGCCATGATTTCAGGCTTTCACCATGCTCATTGCAAACACCATCAAACTTGTTGTTCGCAAGGTAATGACGTCACGAAAGGTAACCAAACGAGGGCGCCACCGAAACATCTCGCCTCTAATAGAGGAGGCTATGACTGGGTTTACATGGATACGATCGCAGCGCATCGAATCGAGCAAGGACCACTGACACCCACCTTGTCTCTTTACTTCTTCCCTCTTCTACCAATCTACTATTTATCAAAACAGTCAAATCTCGATTCGATGAGCTATGGTCGCATCGATGTAAATGCAGCCATAGATGAGCTGGCTGAGCTAGCTTGTGTGCTTAGCAGCCGTGCAAACTGGGCAGCGCTGAGTCCGCGTCACGCTGGCGAGACCACGCGGTGAACGTGGGCAAGCGCACACCAGCTCGGCGCACGCGGAGCGAAAGATCGCGCTGCGGAACCCAGGGATCCTCGGTTCGATCCCCACCCATGCTCGTTTCGATCTGGGTGAGCATCGTACCGGCATGCGGTCGTGTAGCACTACTGCGAGGTGCACGTTAAAGACCCCAGACTACCGGTTGTAGTGCACTGGCTAAATTTCTCGTTTACAGCTGGGAGACAAATCGCACTTTGAGGCAGACTAAATTTTTGGCTCAATAAACATACACAGACACCAATTTATATTTAAAACCTGTGCCACGAGCCCATACCAGTTTTTCGGCAACACTAAAGGCAACACGGGTCGATGTCGCCATCTAGAAGTCAAATATTTTACGCTTCTTAATGATGGTCGCCGTGGGGACTCAGCCTTAAGTGGTCCGACTGTAGCTATTGGGCAGGCGATCGAACTATAGGGGGCGCTTTATGGAGCTTGTTATCCCCACACGCATCTGTTTACTGACAAAGAATAACAAAAAAAAATGGAATCTCGCCTAGCACGTTCTGGGCAACAAGCGCTTCACTCTAACCAGTGTTTTGGTCGCACGAGCAGCGGCCTTCGAATCGTCGTATTCGATTTTTCTAATAAAAAAACAAACAAGAAAATTCGGTTTATTTTCCCTACAGCTGAAGCGTACCGCTAGAGGCGTGACTATTTGATCTCTTCCCCAATAGTAAAAACGTGTATTTTGGGTTAAACAAGCACACATTATTGTGCACTTGAAAGAAGATGTGGAGTTGTATTGGGCTTGACATTGTGCTCAAGGATCAAGCTGATCTCTCAAATAATTCACGCCACTTCCAACCCACCTCATATCTTTTCAATATTTCTATAGTTACGTAATGTCGAACTTAGTTTAACATCTATGCATATATGATAAAATAGCAAACCTCTGCTTTAATATGCAGGTTTCAGAGAAATTCCAGCATTATTCTTCATCGTGTGTTACTTACCCTACAACATGCCGTATACTTTCTTTGCTGCAATCTGACAAATGGTAGATATTTTTGTTTTTCCCCAACGTGATTTGTGTGGCCATTACAAAGTTATCACTCCCCGAACATGATTCGGCCCCAGGAGAGCCTGGCAGGTGGGAAGGCGCTTTATCCCCGTCATGTGGGCAACCAAGCCTGCGCGTCAAGAGAGTATATATATTTTTTTAATATTCTAATCATGAGTGCATTGCATATTCCAAGTTCATGAAAACATAGTGACATGGCGATATTCACGGACAACATACTAAGA